GTCACGATTAAATAAATAATAATTACATACTTTCTCCGTTTCACAATGTAAGTCATTATAGCATTTTCCATATTCATATTGATGTTAATGAATCTAGATAGATATATATGTCTAGATTTATTAATATCAATATGAATGTGAAAAATGCTAGAATAATTTACATTGTGAAACGGATGGAGTAATTTTTTAAATAAGACGAATGATCAAACGTATTTTAAAAAGTCAATAGTGTCATACATTAAGAAATGGAGGGAGTATAAGAGTTTTTGGAATATAGATGACCAAATGGAATATAGATTTGTGGTTCAGGTTTCAGCATTAGCAAAAGATTTTTGTAACTATTACTCCCTCCGGCCTACAATATAAGGCATATAAGTATTTTAATATTCAACTCTTAATATATATTTCCGACAATTAGTCTAAAATAAAAGTAAGTTTCATTTGATGAAAATAATATCATTGAATTGCCATAATTTATTTAGTTTTAAAAATGAAGCCAAATTTGACATCATCTTATATTATCCCACGTGAGACGGATGGAGAACACACAAGGAATATGCACTCTTGGGATTTTTAATTTTACTAGAATAAAGTGCCCGTGCATTGCAACGGGTGAAGTTTATTTTAATCTTATTATTGTTATATGGTTTAGTTAAGATGAAATTCATTGTGGGAGTTCGCTTGGATATATATATATTTTTAAAAAATCATGATCTGCAGTTAGGAGTATGATCGTCTCAAGTTAGCATGCGAGTTTTTTTAAACAGATTTCTTATATGATTCCTTCTGTATTACCAAAAGTGAACGATCTTAAAAACCGACTCAAATACGGATATGTATTTCCAAAAGCAAACGAACTTAAAAACCGACTCATACACGGATGACGTACCAAAATACCGGTAAAAACATCTTTAATTTTTATAATAGTAGAGATCAGCCATTATTAATGTAATTTTGCAGATAAACCTTCTAAAATTTATTTTCAGACCTTAGTCTTTTATGACATCTTCATTAGCGTTGCAGGACTAAATTGGCACGCCAGTTAAAAACCATCGCGTGGCAACAATTTGGCCAAGTAACCATGTATGGCGTTGAAAAAAAAAAAAGATTGCCATGCCATGTGCAGTGATGCTACAGCACCTTAGTATGCTACTATTTGTGGCATAACAAATAACAATGTACAATGTCAAAAGGTTTATTTCTAGAAAAAAAATAACTGAAGAGTTCATTTTTGAAATTTAAAGTTAAAATGGTAAAAATAATAAAAAAATGTACAAATACCTGGTCAATTACTAGTCTGTTCTAAACAAGATATTAAATCATATTACAATTTACACTGCAAATACTTTTCCTTTTTTTTTCTTTTACATAACAAGTACTCTGCCTTTACCTCTTCTTTTCCCCCTGTCACGTATGCAGGTTGACTGCAAATTAATATCCTTCACTTTAGCTTTGAGCCTTTATCTCTTTAACCTTTTCTGTCACTCACATGTTGCTTGACTTCAAAGGTGAAAAGAAATTGACGAAAAGAAGCTATAGTAGGAGTAAATAGTAAAGGGTGGTGATTGTACAGTTCATTTTCATCACCAACACCTTGGTGTGAATCATAGTACACTGTGATTCGGTCGAGTTTGAGTTAATTGCTGTCATCTAATTCTAGTGGTTAATGGCCATAAATAAGAGGGTACAGCAGTTAATGATGGTGCAAGGCAAGCAGGCCCGGTCAGGTTCAGAAAAGAACACGTACATTGTTAACGTACGGGTACATTGAATATTTTGGTAGTATCAAAACCCAGCCCGTGTGAAAAACACGATTTTTTCCTTGTTTTCTATAATCAGTACTCCATTTACCATTATAATATGTACACACTAAGATCTAATTAAGATCTAATGATGTTTTCTTATTTCTTTTTCTCCGATTAATATGGTATTTTGGGCCACTGGAACAAATATATGTTTTCCAGAATCAATCTTCACCATTGTAATCTACTCCCTCTGTCCTAAATATAACAACATCTAGCTCTTAAAGTTTGTTCCAAAATATATCAACTTATTCACTAACATTCTCTTCTCAACTAATCACAACCCTCCACCATTCAATTTTCTCATCTACCTTCACATTTTTAACCAATCACAACCTTCTTCTAGTTAATTCTACCTACTTTCTTAATACCTGTTTCTAATCATAAAATTTCTTAAATTATGGGACAGAGGGAGTATGTACGCTAAGATCTATCAATGCAAAATTTTATGTTTTCTTTTCTCTAATTAATATGGTATTTTTGGGCTCCTAGAACAGATATTGTGGTTTCTTTTCAAACTCTTTTATAATAATGTATTCTCTCCATCTATTTTTGATAGACATATTTCTAAATCTGAAAAATTTATTTTTGATAGGCATATTTCAATCCAACAACCTATCTTAATAACTTCCACGCAAGATTGGCTAAATGAGCATCGAGAAATGTAAATATTAATGAATCGTTTATTTACGAGGAATGACTAGTAGCATGTTTAAATATATGATAAGTAGAATTACTTATCTTTGATCTGTGTGACAAGATGAAATATGACTATCAAAAGTAGATGGAGGAAGTAATATATTAAATTATTATTCTAAAGCTTATATATAAGATTTTTTTTAGTCTTGAATTTGAACTTAAGAGTGAAAGTTCAAGTGCCTTTGAATTTAACTTGGTAAAAGTGAAAAAGCAAATAAACAGGAAGAGATGGCAGCTGTTGTAGTGCCGTATAAGCAAAAAACTGTGTATCGCAGCATGTGAACATTGTTGTCTTAGGACGTTAATAATCGATCATAGCCATGAGTGAGAGTGACCATGCATCCATCATAAGCTCAACTTGATGACACCATCATGGAATATCTACTGCCGAGCACATGAACAAATTAAAAAGTGCCATCATGGAAGCTTTACTGCTACTCGTGTTTAGAGGTGGCGGAGGATTTTATTTTGTAGTGCACAATCATCATTTGAAATATATATCAAGCTTACAATATGATTAGAACCATAAGAATGAAAGGAAATTGTTAAAATGATGTATAAACTCTAACTTAAAAAACCTAACATTGTCACCAACGTGAGCCTCGCATGGTGAAAAGTATACATATGACTACAAGCTAGTTATAGGTAAAGTAGAAAATCAAAAAACACATCAAAATTTTGGCATTTTGACACTCCGGTTACATATGCTACCAAAATGTGAAAATGCCAAAATTTTGCAAAACCGAACCAATCCTACATTATTAATTTTATCCATGATATATAATTCTTGTGAGGAAGCATTATATATTTGTGATATATTAATTTCACGTTTGACATGCATGATTTTATAAGGTCGTGTTCAGAGACCTAAAGGTTCCAACAAATAGCTTATTACTATCTAGCTGGTGGAAATTTGGAGAAGCTATAGCTTGTTTCTAGCTGTAATTTATTTTTGAATCCTCTAGCTAGTGTGTCGACCTATTAGAGTAGTTTAAGATTTTAAAAAGCAGACGATAAAAATTTGGAAAGCTACGTTTCCTAACTAATGGCCTCTAATTCAATTTATAGATTCTACAACTACAAATTTTTAAGGCCTTGTTTAGGGGAGCTTAAGATTCTGAGAATCTGTTGGTTGGTAGCTAGTTTCTGAGAATCTGGAGAAGCTGGGTTTTCTAGCTTCTGGGTTTTAGTTCATTTTCTGGATTCTATAACTACATATTCTCAGAATCTAGGTGATAATCTGGACTGTTTGGGGGAGCTGGAGATTTTGAGAGAAGCTACAACAGTTAGAAGCTCTCCAAAACAGGCCCTTAGAATCAATGTTAAAATCTGTTTGGGGAGCTAGAGATTCTGGGAGGAACTCCAGTGGCTAGAAGCTCTTCCAAATTGGGTTGAATCTACAATGAGAATCTAGAGTATTTAGACAAGGCCGGAGCTGGAACTAAATGGCAAAGTGCTACTCGCTTGCTTTACTCTACTTTGTACCGAGTTTAAGCTGATGTAGGTGCTTTACTCTACATATGATGAAAATAGATAAGCTATAACTAAAGTATTTTCTCGACCAGGTTTCTAGGCATCTTCTAACCTTAAGGGAAAGCTAAATACCAGGACCTTGTTTCAAGGTGTGGGAACAGGGTGCTCAATCTCCTTTCCCCGCTTTGCATCTATTGCGAGCAACGAACGTTTCTCTTTCTCCATGTGCCTCCTGCTCCTCCTCTCTCCATCACTTCTTGCCGCTCCCTCGTCCTCTCGTTCGCTTCTCCTCCTCTCATCTGGGTCGCTGCGGGGAAGGACGGGGTGTCATACCGCTGCTCCTTCTCTTTGCCTATTGCTCCTCTTCCTCTCGTCTAGGGCCACGACAAGTGAGAATGGGGGAGTGCCGCAGTCCTCGCGACAATGGAGGATAGGGAGCAACGCCATCGTAGCCATAATTGTTGTGTCAAGGGAGGAAAGAGTATGCTGTTGTCAAAATTGACACTTCATAGTTCATATGATGGGCTTCCCATTGCTCGTCCGCGACGAATTTGAAACCCCGAGATCTCCGGTCATCGGATTTGGCGTTGCCCAACCTCTTTGTTGTTGTCTCCAAGTAGAAACGGCGATAGTAACCATCTCCATCCCTTCTTCTCAGTTTAGATATGATACCTGATGAGTATCAATCGATACCGACACAAACGGGTATCAGTTGGTACTAGATAGGTATCAAACCGGGGTACTAGATCTAATATCGATAGGTCTCTTGATATATAGTAGCCCTGTAATCTTAGATCCGCCCCTCGTATTTATGAGAGCTGAAGATTATACATAAGTGGTTACAAAGTATCTCGAAGATTCTTGTGTAAGAAGCATGAATAGGGCTTGGATTCTGGGCTTGACCTACTTACACTATCATCATCCAGGCCCATATCCAAAGTGGACAAAGCCCAACCCACCTTCACCTTGTATCTAATAATTACCGTCCTGTAACGTAATCCGGGTTGCAAATGCAATGCAAGCAGCCTTGGGGGAGGGACCCCAAGCATTACTTCCCTCCCTGCGCCATAAATCCCTCCCACCGCCGCCTCCCCCCGCTGCTACGCGTCCCCCACCTCTGAGCTGTGCCATAGCTGTCCTCCTCTCCACTCCACTCACCTCTCCACCTCCCAAGAACTCCCAAATCCCACCCCGCATTGCCATTTCCAGCTGTTGTTCTTGATTCCTTGTTCTTCGGCGATCATTTCGGCTTCTTTTTTGTGGTGGTATGAGAGTTTCGCGATGAGGAAGGAGGTGGTGTTAGTGGCCATGGTGGTGGTGGTGGTGGTGAGCTGGGTCGTTGCTGCCGGCGGCGAGGCGGCGGCGGCGGCGGCGGCGGTGGTGGTGGACCCGGCGTGGAGGTTTCCGAGCGCGAGGCTGCGTGACGCGTACGTGGCGCTGCAGACGTGGAAGCAGACGGCCATCTTCTCCGACCCCAAGAACCTCACCGCCGACTGGGTCGGCCCCGCCGTGTGCGCCTACACCGGCGTCTTCTGCGCGCCGCTCCCCGGCGCCGGCGGCGCGCCGGGGGAGGTCGCCGTCGCCGGGGTTGACCTCAACCACGGCGACATCGCGGGGTACCTCCCCGCCGAGCTCGGGTTGCTCACCGACCTCGCGCTGCTCCACCTCAACTCCAACCGCTTCTGCGGCCTCGTCCCGGACGCCCTCCGCCGCCTCCGCCGCCTCCACGAGCTCGACCTCAGCAACAACCGCCTCGTCGGCGCCTTCCCCTCCGCCGTGCTCGACCTCCCGGCGCTCAGGTTCCTCGACCTCCGCTACAACGACTTCGAGGGCGCCGTCCCGCGCCAGCTGTTCGACCTCCCGCTCGACGCCATCTTCCTCAACCACAACCGCCTCCGCTTCGCCCTCCCCGACAACTTCGGCAACTCCCCCGCCTCCGTCATCGTCCTCGCCGGCAACCACTTCGGCGGCTGCCTCCCGGCGAGCCTCGGGAACATGTCGGCCACGCTCAACGAGATCCTCCTCATCAACAATGGCCTCGACTCCTGCGTCCCGCCCGAGGTCGGCTTGCTCCGGGAGGTCACCGTGTTCGACGTCAGCTTCAACTCGCTCGCCGGCCCGCTCCCGCCGGAGGTGACCGGGATGCGGAAGGTGGAGCAGCTCGACGTCGCGCACAACCGCCTCGCCGGCGCCGTGCCGGAGGCCGTGTGCGACCTGCCCCGCCTCAAGAACTTCACCTTCTCCTACAACTACTTCACCGGCGAGCCGCCGTCCTGCGCGCGCGTCGTGCCGGCGGCCGACGGCGACCGCCGGAATTGCCTCCCCAACCGCCCCTACCAGCGCACGCCGCGGCAGTGCGCCGCGTTCTACGCCGCGCCGCCCGTCGACTGCGCCGCGTTCCAGTGCAAACCGTTCGTCCCCTCGCCGCTATTGCCGCCACCTCCGCCGCCCGCATACCCCGGCCCATTGCCGCCGGTGTACCCCGTCCCATACGCCTCGCCGCCGCCACCGCCGCTTTACCGATGATTCTTTCACAAGACAAACATTGCCACCTTCCCCCCCTCGCCGTCGAAATGGAAGAGAAAACCGACGAGCTCGCCGTTCACAATTGTACGTGGTCAATTGTTGTTATGCTTACATTAGTAGAGTTCTTGATTGATGATAGCTACCGGCGTAAACAAGAGTAAAGTGCCATATATATATCATCACTTAGTTGATTTTGCATTGGTTGGTGTCTGTTCTTCTGCGTCGTCGTCATCGTCATCAACTGGCCTGAATTTTCGCGGTGATGGCGAAATGGGTTGGAGGTAGGTGATGTGGGGGGAGTTTGGCTTTGCAAGGAGGGAGCAATCTGAGCTTTAGGTTTATGGCTAATTGCGATAATTGGGTTGTGAATAATAAGCTGTTTGAGAGAGACAGGTTTAAGGTGATGAATTGAGGAGGATTTGAGTGTTGCAGTGTTATTATTTCGGGTTGTATAGAGTGAAGCTTTTGATGGTTTCTTCTTCAGTGAAAGCTTCAGCTGAGAGCCGGGGGATATGTTTTTAGATCAAGAAATCTTTCCTAATTAAATTACTTTTGTATCACACCTACTTACTGTTATTATTCGATTATTATTATTATGATATTCAGTCTGGATTCTTGGATTTTTATCTCTTCAATTGTCACTCTGTTGTTATGTTTTTCATGAGGTCATGGTATATATTGTATTTTTATATTGTTATTCAGGTTGGTCCTTTTTTTTTTGCACCTGAAAACTTCTGAAAGCATAGATATGTTTCTGAATTTTTCAGTAATTTCTTGAGTGTAGGACTGTAATCAAGAGTTTTTCAATAGAATCATGAAAAATTAGCTAGTAATGCATGGAATTTTCCCATTGTACATCTGAAGCAAGAATGCATGGAATTAGCTTGAGGCATGGAACCACAGATTCTTCCAACATTTTTATTCTCCTGTCATCAGAAGACATGGGTCGGGTGCCATTATTCTCCTGTAGTCCCTGTTGTTCCAACCATTTGGTTTCTTCTACCTACTAGCCATTTTCCAACTTTTGAGGAGTGAGGACTAATCCAATAATGCACTTGGCAAGATTCATTTGTGAAGAAATTTGTTTGGCCAACAGGTTTCTTTGTCTAAACTAATCTCCTGTGCTTAATTTAATTTGGATGTAAGATGAGACAGTTATGCAACTTGTTTTGGTAGTTAAGCATGCTTGGTCACTTTTCACAGCACCTTTCTGTTTCTGGGATTAAATTACTGGAATGGGGCCCAACCATGGTTGGAAGCATTGCTAATTATGCAGTGGGGTTTATCTCTGACAAAGAATGATTACCTCTCCTCAGCACTTAGGGCACCCGCAATGGTTATCTATAGGCTCTCTACAAGAGATCCATGTCAGCATATTTTCCTACTTGAAAGAGATTAAATGAAGAGAGAGCAAAGCTATTTACTAATCTGGAGATAGTCTATAGAGAAAAATGAGACAATGGATTAGAGAGCTATAGATACCCATGTAGACATACCATTGAAGTGGTTTACTACTAATCTACTAATCTAGTTTATTGCTGAGATGTACGTGTTTTATAGATAGCACCTTACTTTACCATTGCGGGTGCTCTTAAGGTATATCACTAATCATTTCGCTCTTTAGCGAGACCGTTATACGGACCAACTACTTTTATATTGTGACAAAAAAACATATATAATATTTTATTTTTGTTGATTTTTTTCTCAGAAAAAATCCAATTGAGTGATTGACCCCAGCTTGACACAAGAATATGGGGATTTGGAGACAGGAACATAGGGATAACTAATTGGAAATTGCTTTACGTCCGACTCACTTACGACTGTTTGATTAACGGTTATAAATAGCTACTGTGTATATGAACTTGTTCTTTTTCGATTGTGTATATGAACTTGTTTTTTTTCGATTGATCTATGGTTACATGTCTTTAGTTGTACAATTGAATTGTATGTATAGTAGTACTCAACTAATTTGCACATTTTGGACGCAGATAAAATGACCAAAATTGACTCAAAAAGTATTAGTAAAAGAAAAGTGACATTTGACTCCAGTTGTCAAGTGTATTCTGTTGTTATTATAATAAAGTATGAACTTCGGGTGTGCTCTTTTTTTTTCCTTGAATGGCTGAGTGCTGTATGATTTGTGATAATTATTCAAGGGTATACATAAACAAATTAATAAAATATTACAAAGTTGAAAAAGGTTTAAAATAGTTTCCTCGTGGGGTATCTATCTATGTATGACCGATTCATTTATAACAAATTTGGTATATCTCGATATGTCGGGAGTTAGGTCTTAAAAATTAATTGGTACCTCTTAAGGGCCATAAAATTTTCCAATATGCAGTTCAAAAAAAATAACTAAAAAATAATAATACATATATATTATATAATACTAGGTGGTTAGATCCACAAATGGACATGGTGTGTGCCACACTGCCACCCTCATCTCTAAGCACGACTAGTGGACAAGAAACTGATAAATTCTCGTTGATATATTTTTTTTGAACGAAAATTCTCGTTGGAATGGAATGGTGCACAACATTGCCTTAACTAAATTTTGTATAATTTCCTCTTGCCGCACACGCGTTAGCGACCTGTTATTGCAATCATTTATTGAATTATTATGCTTGTGCACGTACTATAGCTAGCTATACGTTGAGACTTTTGTATTAGTGAGCATGATCACCATTTGACATTTTCTGAAAGGACATTACACTGTTGTTTGTGTACAGCTCCTGTTCCAGTAAGATTGCACGTACTAATATTACAGTTGGTGTACACTTGTACCTATGGATGACATAAACAATGTTTTCATTGTCAATTAGTTGTTGTAGTTTGACCACTAATATCTTTTAAACTGTTTGATTATTTATGAACTTGATTTATATGTTATGTTTATACAGTGTAACATGCTTTAGTAATTTGATATACATTTTTGTACTTATAATTACATTTATAAAATAGGAAATAGATGCACTAAAACGATGCAAAGTTAAAAATGCCAAGTAGCACTGCTATAAAACAGAGGGAACGCCGTAACTTTCAGGAATTTATCAATTAAATTTTCCCAATGTTCTAAATAGGATATAATATTTACCACTCGGTTCCAAAATATAGCCTCAGTACAGGATTACACTGGCCCATTCGATACTGCTTAGGATGAAGATTAAGTATGGACACGTAAAACGAAAAAGCTACTCCTCCGTTGTAGGTTACAAGATGTTTTGATTTTGGTCAAAGTTAAACTGCTTTAGGTTTAACAAAATTTATAGAAAAAATATTTTCGACCCAAGATAAATTTATTATAAAAATATATTTACTTATTAATTTAATAAAACTAATTTGGTAATATAAATATTATTATATTTGTCTATAAACTTAGTAAAACTTAAAGCAGTTTGACTTTAATTTGACCAAAGTCAAAACATCTTGTAACCTGAATAAGAGGAAGTATTAGCATATGATTAATTGAATTTTAATTATTTTAAACTAAAAATGAATTTATTTGATATTATAAAATAATTTTTATATATAAAGTTTTTGCACGAAATACATCGTTCAACGGTTTGAAAAGCGCGCTAACGAAACCGAGACAAAATCTGTATCTTAATCAGAAATGAATGGCTATATTTTAAGATGGATGGAGTACTAGGATAATTAGGTCATTCTGTGCTGCACTGAACCAAATTAGGATGAGGTGAAGATGGGCATCATGTGCACAAGAGATGATCACATTGCTCAAATAGTCAAATGCAGAGTAGCTAGATGGCTATAGGAAAGCTTCAAGAATAAACTTTTGTTCTCCAAAAAGGAAAAAATGGAAACACTTTTGGTTTTCATAAACCCCCACTTGGTGCTTCTCCTTGACTCTCTCCTATCTCTACTCTATCTAGTGGATTCTTCCCAACATGCTAAAGACAGCATCCTACTTTCGGTGGCTGTCAACAGTGCAAGGTGGGCCCGGCCATAGGTGACCACCACTGTTACACTTGCAATGCAGCGCACTGCAGCTAAGCTAGTGACCGTCTTCTATATATGCATCATGCAACTAGCTGCAGTGCAAATTAAAAGGCATGCGTTGGTTAAACCCAAACTTAATTAATTACCAAAGCTGAAAGCAAATCAAAGCAAAAACGAATGGAATTGCTTGAAAAACTGTCGCAAGTTTTTTTTAAAAATACTTTCAAATGTAACTATAGTATAGTATAGTTATAGTGTAACTGTAGTATAATTACACTATAGTTGCATTGTAACTATAGCGTAACCGCACTGTAACAACATTGTAATATCTATATAAGTTAAATATAAAGTTATATATATTATTTTAATACTTATAAAAATTATATTATAGTTATATTGGAATTATATTGTAATTATACTATAGTTAGATTTGAAAGTTTTTCTTAAAAAAAACTTACGGAAGTTTTTTTAAGATAATCCCAAAACGAAACCTTCAGTAAATTGATTAGATTTGGTTTTAATTAAGTTGGTTTTCATATAGTGTTAACTAAAGTCGTCAGTTTTTCCTAGTTTTTAATTGGTTTTGGGTAAATCGATGAGATGTGGTTTCAAAATTAAAGGCGATGACACTAATTAAGAATTAGTCTCGTCGGTCAGTCGGTGTGATCAGTGACGACATGACAAGTTGACAACGATGCGATGAACGAGAGGGTGCAGCGTACTCCCTCCGTCAAAAAAAAAAAAACTGGATTTCTATATACAACGTTTAACTGTCTATCTTATATGAAATTTTTTTATAATTAGTATTTTTAAACATAATTAATACTTTATGCGTGACTTGTCTTTTTAATTTTTTTTTATAATTTTTTTAAATAAGACGGACGGTCAAACGTTGAACACGGAAACTTAGGTTTGTTTTTTTTTTACGGAGGGAGTATGTACGATGGGATTGTTGCATTGATCAATCCGGAACTGTTTGGCCTGTCATTGCTGCTAATTGTTGTTGTGCGAACAACTGGCAGGCAGGGGATCATCAAGTTGACAAAGTTAATCAGTACTAGCTTATTGCTGATCTTGCACGTTGCTAGCTAATAGCTAGACTGGCTGCAGCTATCCGACGTACAAAGGACGTTATTAGGGAGAGACCCATGCAATGTTTTTTCGCCCATGTTAATTTGCTAGGGTATACGACCATATATTATTTGAGTCAAACCATGTATTCACCAACAATTTGGTCTGTCTCTTTTGGCCTGGTTAATTATTTGGGTTACGACTTACGAGCCACGTCTATTTTTTTTATTTTAGAATTAATTTAGGGGTTCTTTTGTTATTTTTATCATTCGGTCTTAGTTTTTTAATATATTTTTAAAAAGAGAGTTCCATATTCTAAAATTATTTTCTGAGCAATTTCAGTAGGATGCTGGATACAACCCCAAATAGTTTTCGAACCTGATGGAAAAAAAGGATCTAGTAGAATCTTTATTATTACTAATTAAATGCACCAAATCCCACCCAGCCCTTAACCCTCGCATCCTGTTTGTCTAGCCAAGGGAAGAGAAATAGGAGTTTGAAGGAAGGGGTTGATGGTAGGATTGGTCATGGGAGTTATATTTTCATTTTCGCATATGAACGTCTTAAGCTTATTTTTTATTGAAGTTTTTTTTGG